GAGGAACCAAGGGAGAAGAGATTGTTAACCCAGTCCAGCATGACCTGGAAAAAGCTGAACTCTGAGGAGGGAAATCCACCACTCCTGACAGAAACACCACCCAGGGCTTTTCTGGAGAAGAAGAGAAAGAGTGAGGTTCTCCCTTCCTCAGGCCTCCAGTCTCAGAAGCACCTCTCCTTGCTGAGAAGCATGGCAAAGGCTCCTCAGGAGACTGAGGACCTGGGCCCAGTGGCAAAGAAGTTTCATATCTAAGAATGGGCCAAGGAACAGCACCATTCCACCTTGGAGTTCTTCCTCTCTTTTCTTTCTAAGTTCCTTTGGTCTAGGTGGATCAGCATAAGATAGAGTGTATATATACTACAGTTCCTAACCATGTACTGTCATGAATAAGAATTGACTTAAATGAGATTTTAGTAACTATTTCAAAATTAGGTCCAGCATAGAAAACTGCAGATGGTTAGCATCTTTATAGTTCTCAGCTTCAGAAGTGTCTTTCCAGTATCTCTCTCTTCTTTTTTATTGAAAATAATTTTTTTCATACAATATAGTCTGATCATAGTTTCTTCTACCTCATTTCCTCCATGTCTTCCAACTCCACAAACTCTCTCTTTAGAAAACAAACAGGCAAACAAAAAAAATAACAAAGAAAAAGCATGAGAAACACATAGACCTCCAGACACACAGACACACAGACAAACACACACACAAAACCCAGAAAAACAAAAAATTGGGAAACCATAATATATATTAGAAGATCAGTAAGGTAAACAATACCCAAACAAAGCATTATGAGATGAAAAGTCTATAAAAATACCATTGAATTTATTTTGCATTTCTATCTACTGCTGGGCAAGGGTTCTGTGCTTAAGTTTATCTACCCAGTGAGACTCTACTGGAGAAAATCAATTTTCCCTGAAAGCCATTTTCAACTAGAGATAGCTTCTTGGCTAGAGATGAGAGCTCGTGCCCACTTCTTCATCTCAGCACTGGAACTTGATTTGGTTTGGACCTGTGACATCTCTGTGTGTGCTACCATAGTCTCTGAGAGTTCCTAAGTTCTTCAGTCCTCTTTTGCCTGGAAGACACTGTTTCCTTGGTGTCCTCCATCCCCTCTGGCTCATACAATCTTTCTGTCTCCTCTTTTACCTAGTTTCCTGAGCCCTGAAGGGAGAGGTTTGGTGAGAACATCCCATTTAGAACTGAGAGTTCCAAGGTCTCTCACTCTCTGCATATTGTCCAATCATGGGTTTCTGTTCTAGTTTTTAGTTGTAGTTGAAAATTTCTTTGAGTGAGACACTGATCTATGGGTCTAATAGAATATCATGAGGAGTTATTTTATTGCTATGTTCTTTTCACAGAATAGCAGTTGGTTTTCATTTGGTCCAAGGTCATTTGGTCCATGGCTTTTCTACGCTCAGGTTCATGGCCACCTGAGTAGTGTCAGGTCTGAGTTCCATCCCATGGAGTGGGCCTTAAATCCAGTCAGACAGTGGTTGGTTCCTTCTACAATGTTTATACCACCATTCCACCAGCATATCATACAGGCAGGTCATCACTGGCCAGAGAAGGTTTTGTAGATGCGTTGGTGTTTACCTTGAGTACCTTCCAGAACTATGAACAGTAGTCAGCAGATGTGAAGAATCTAGTTAGATGCCAGCTCAACCTCCCTGTATTCAATGAGATACCTAAGTGTTGTCTTCAGCAATAGGCCCCGATTATCAGTTTGGAGAGAACAAACAATAGCCTATGGCAACTCTCCATTGAGGATCTTGAATGTACATTTGAGACAACCTTATTTTCTGCTGCTTTTTACAAAGCCCACGCCCATGCTTTCAGGGGTGTTCCACTTTCTTCTGAGAGCCAGCCTTGCTCTTAACCCTCATGCTTAAGTGGATTTTAAAATATCTTTATTAACCCCCCAACTCTGCTTTGTAAAAAAAAAAAAAAAGCATTTCTACTTGCCTGACCTAATACACAAATGCATTGAATATTCTTACAAGTCAGGAAACTGAGGTTCAGATAGAATATGTAACACGTATAAGCAGAGTTGCAGGTCTAACCACAGTAAAGGTCAATCCCAAGCCCAGGCTCAACATACATCCTTAGCTGCTGTGAAGTACCAAGCTGTTATGTGATAACTCCTGTAAGGTGACAAATGTTCATTTTCCTCTGTTGGTGTCTTATTTCCTCCCTGAAGTAAAACCTGTAACCAGAGACAGGGATTCTAGTTTGAAATATCAGCAACATGCCCCATAATGCCTCTGTCTCCCACCCTCTCCATAGACATAGTCTGTGCTCAATGGTCCCAGTGTTTCTAATTCATAGTTCATGCTGGGTGAGGTGGGGTCTTTTGCAAGGTAATTCCAAGACAGGATCAGTTGTTTAAAAATAAAAGGACAAAAAAAAAGTAAAGAAACCTTTCTAGCATGAAATATAAATCAAGCTAGAAAGAATGAATGCTTTTCATGGTTTCTGAGACTGAGTTTCATAAAAAGAATTGAATACAGACATATACAACAAGTGTGTGTGTGTGTGTGTGTGTGTGTGTGTGTGTGTGTGAATATGAGTTCCTATGTGCCATTGTGGAAGTGTTTAAGTTTCCACTGACTTCAGGTCAACAGGTTTACAGACAGCATTTCTGATGCCAAAGAGCCATCTTGTTTCCCTTGGTTACCAATGCAACAGTGTGCAGGGATTAGTTTAAATTCATCACTACTTAACAGAAAACCATTTTCGAACACCAAGGCTTCTATTTGGTTGCTAGAAATCTCTCTCCCTCCCTCCCCCCTCACACAAACACACATACACACACACACACACACACAAACACACACACGCAAATTCCCTGCTTTGTAGTCTATTTTGCATGCTCTCCTTTATATGTGGAGGTACTTGACACACTGTAATACTGCTATAGAGAATGGATTCTTTCTCTTTGAGTTTATTCCTTTTCTTTATTGCAGAGAACTAAGAGAGCTTGCTGAGAGGGTATTTCTTCTATAAAATTATTTCTCCGAGTGCCTTAACAACATTCTTTCATCTATAAGGATAAACCTTGCCTGATAGAAAGGCTCCAAGTACAATTTATCGACTCAGTAAAATTCAAGCTCACTGATTACATTTCTATCTAAAAGCTTCCACAGTTATAAGACTGGGGGAGCCTTTAGAATCATGCCAGGTCGGGATTCTTTCTGAATATTTTCCCACAGCCAATTGAGCGATACAATAAGCCTACCCATTAGCTAGAGCATCACTGCTTGTGCCCGTGGTCTGATGGCCGAAGGAACATGTATGTTATCTAGGTTCCACTTAAGATACTATTTGAAGTAGATCAGAAGAGCAACAAAGTTATCCTGCTTCTGTGGAGACAAACTGTTCTGGTCTGTGCCGAATAGGCTTATCAAAAGAAGATCAGAACCCAGCAGTAATCTCCTCTTTCACGAAACAGCACTTTCCCTCTCCTCTGAGATACTCCCCTAGTTCTGAGAAAATATTTCACTTGAACCTTAGTGTTTCAAGCGGAAAAGGGAAGATAAGCCGTGATGTGCCACTCCACCAGCAATTAGGCGAAGAGATGTTAGAAATTTTAATTGTCAGTCTTCATTTCCTGAGAAGCAAAATCTTAATTTTGCTGGTGGAAGAGGCATGTGAACTGATCACAGCAGTGCCACTGAAAGTGGAATAAATACAGTTATTCTCCCCTGTGAAAAAGGCACTTGGAGATTTGTTCCCTCTAAGTTTCTCACCTTTGGTGTTATTGAATGAGATCATGACACTGAAAACTTATGTACTAAAACCAAAATCTTCCAGAAGGGTCAAAATTCCACTACACACCCTTTGCTAACATTTGAATACACATATAAGTGTCTGAAGATCGGGGGCAATCCTTGAAGGGTACTGTTTGCTTTAAGGTCTTAAAATTTTTATATTTTTGAGGGTAGAGGGAGTGTTGCAGAGTTTTAAATTTTATATATGTGTAATTTACTAAAACTTTTAGATATGCATGTTATCTTCTGAGGAGTTGAGAGCCACCAGAGCGGGAAGTCCCTTCAGGGATGAACAAAAGCAAGGATGTTCGATAGTATTATCTCCACAGCAGCAGGCTTGCGGACGCAGGGTTGTGGTAGTGACTGTCTCTGTCTTCTATTACACTGCATTTTCATTAGTGAAGCCGCTGGTTTTTCTCTGGTCAGCTAACTATGCTGTTCCCAGCTTTTTTCTTGGCCACTCGGTCTTGGTTTAAAAGGGGGGGTGGGGGAGGAAAGAGAGGAGAAAGGTGAACTAACCCAACGTGTGGTGCAAGGAGGTTCCTCTCTTTTTCGCCGCTGGCGCTGGCGTTGTTTGATCCTTGTGGACACAGGGAAATACTGGCTCGGTAATTCAACCCAGAACCCCTAGAGTCCTATGAATTAGTGGTTTTGAGCAGGGAAGGAAGAGAAAGGCTTTTATGGACCCTTCCCAGATGGGGGCAGGAGAGCCCAACCGAACAGAAGGGCCTGGTGGGTGTGCTCGAATTCAAGACGCCCCTTGGTCTCGCAGCCTACCCGCTGGCAGGATCAGAGGTCAAGTCAAAGGGCTCGGTCGCTGGTGCCTCGCCCTCTCGCCCAAACAGTACGCCCCTGGTCTTCTGACTGACCACCACTGGTTCAGCTAGACGGGGGGGGGGGGGGGGGGGGGGTCGGGGGGCGGGAAGAGGGCTGGCACAGAGGGGCAGAGAGGCACCTCGGTAAATGTAGTTCCTGAGCGCGGCGATGGAGGGGTTGTTTCGATTCCGTCTGCAGAATTGGGACTACAACTTCCAGAATCCTAAAGGCCCGTCAGAGCGTCCATGCGCAGTGGGTGCCACCTTGTATCCTATCAGAGGAGGCGAGGGTGATGTCACCTGCGAGTTGGTAACCTACGAGCGGCTGTGAAGGGAACTGTTTAACCGGATCCCATTGTACCGGGAACGCAGAGCGGCCTTTCCAGCATGCAGCGGCTGCTCAGGTGAGGGGACGCCTCGGCTCGCCCGCCGCACTCATTCATTAGCTGCACCGCACCGTGGCGCGGGGTGGGCGTGCTGGTTCCTCGCGCTGTTCGCGGCGCGCCCTCCTGCTGCTTCCCGGAGCTCCCGGGCCAGTAGGTAAATATTAAACTCGTCCTTCAGGTTGGGTCTGGGTGGGAACAGGACTGAGACAGCTATGGGCTGCCAATCTAGGCTTTGGAAAATGGCTGCAGCGCTACACGGAGCGAGGCGAGCCTGAAGGAAGGCGTCCCCGAGGATGGGGTCCCTCCCTTCTTTCTTTCCGAGGCGTTCGGTGGCAGTGGAGCCGGCCGGGTACATCTCGCTTCCCGGCCGCAGGCTCCCCGGGGCCAGGACTGAGGGAGCTGCGGCAGCGGGCGGCGCTCCTTGGCCGCTGGCTCTGTAAGATCCGTGGGCACGGTAGTGGCCGCGATTCCCCGACCATCCCTATCATCTTCGGGTCAAGCCATACTCAAAACGGAGGGGCTTACTGTAATCCAGACAGTGTCCGAGCTTACTGTGTGCGGGGAGAAGAGGAAAACCTGGCATTGCGGAGGCCGCGAGCCGGCGGCTAGCTGCGGCGCGGGGAGGCTGCGTCTCTGGGGGACTGGACGGGGTTCCCTGCGTCCTGCTTCGGGGGGGCGTGTGTGGGGAGCGCATCTCAGCCTTGGCTCTGCCGAATCGAGCCCTGCAAAGAGCACCTGGGCGTGGGCTAAACGCTCTCCTTAGAACCATGGAGGTGATGGGTTGGTGGATAACCTAGTGATAAGGTTCGCTGTGGAGGCAGAAGGGCTGGATAATCGGGTTTATCTAACTGGTGCCCCAAACCAGTTGTTTGTGATTGGCTTGTCTTCTGACTGGAGAGGAGAGCGAGACGAGGCCCGGCCCGGCCGGACAACTCTAAAGTCTTCTGGCTTTTCTTTTTCCTTTCTGCGTCAGCTTCATTCGTTCGTTTACTCACACTCATCAAGCCTTTCTACGATCTTTTGCTCGTTGCTTACAATCAAGGTTTGGGACGTTCTGTCCCCTCCCCATAAAATGTTTTACTGTGCTCAGAAATAGATTCCTGCTCTCGAGTCCCTCTACCTCACTGTCAATGTTGGGAGAGCATCCAGAGCAAATGCTGCCCGTGACCGTTTTTGCCCCCATTGAATTGGTAGTTTCTTGAGATTTGAGCCGGACCTAGTGAATTGAAGCTTAGTTTGCCTGCAAGACGAATCCGGTTGCCATGGCGACTCCTGCCTTTGGAATCTTAACTGCTCGCCCTGCTGTTGTGGCTCTGCGGGCAGCTGGGAGGGTGTGGTCGGGGGGTGTGGTCAAATGTTTGCCCTGAGCCCAGCTGCTCCCTCTTCCTCACCCTCCTGGCAGCTCTGGGACTCCCCATATTCTTTCCTACATAGCTTGGACACTGTATTTTTGGACCCTTTTCCTTCCCACGTGCCTACACATCATCTCAAAACGAATTGTCTGAGGCTTTTGTTCTAAGGTAAACTAAATTGGAATATGTTTTTTCTCCAACAAGTGAACCGTATTATCTTTCCATCATTATCATAGTCAATAGTGCTGGAGGCAATTTACTTAACAAGGTCACTCTTCCCAAGCCTACACAACTCCCTGGTCAGCAATTACCTGAAGTGCCATTACCTGTAAATGACAGAGCAATTAATAATTGAAATTGAGGTATAGAGAGTACAGACATCGCAATAATTTTCATAAAATCTAAACTCCAGCTCAAGATCCTTAAAGTGAAACTCTGGAGTCTGAAAACAGGAGCCCTAGGTCCTGTGCCAGCACTTTGTGTTCTGCCCTGCTGCGGGCTAACAGTTACCTCTGGAGGCACCTGTTATCTCATTTGTAATGTAGACAGGGGACTTCAGAGAATTCCCAACATTGACTTTACGTTTAAAGTCTTGCGACTTGGAAAATGACTCCCTCCTTCAAACAATACAAGGGCTAAACCCAGCTCTGACATTGTAGCCTTCAATTTGTGTTGCTGGCCCCCAAAGCAAGATCCTTTGGGTTACTGTTACAAAATGGACAGGACAGCCATAGTACTATTTTTAAATTTATAATACACTTGATACTCCTGTTATCCCAGCATCTGGACTTTTATGTTTTAGTCACAATTAGTTGTTTAGATTTTATGGTTTGCAGATTCTCGATAAATGTAGTTATTTGTAACTTAATTGAACAGAAGGTATTTACATTTTACTAAGAAATTTGTTTTTCATCTCCTGCTTGCATTTTATTCCAAGTGTGGTAGCTCTCAGAAATGGGGGGGGGGTGGATATAGGAGTGTTTATGCATGTGCATTCATGTGCAGATTAATACTCGGGTTGTTATCCAGGTGGATAACACACTCTGTCTTAAGTAGGTACTTAGTTACATCACTATGAGGCAGCAGTAGCAGAAGTTATCACTCTCTTATTTATGTATTTACTTTTGTTCTAGGATTTATAATAACAGCAAAATGCCCTTCATTTATTGGCTTACTTGTCTATGCTTCTTGGTGCTAAGCTCTTTGAAGGCAGGGTCTTTGTCTTCTCAGCCTTCCCAGAGTTTGGAATAGGTCTTTTAATAAGCATTTGTTAAATGGGTATTAAGGAGGATTGGAAATCCAAGGTTTGTTTGTATTCTTTCTCCTGACAGTTATGTAATTTGTTGTAATAGTCCCCCCCTTTTTTTGTTAATACTTACACCTTGCTACAGTTCTTTCCATGAGTATAAAAAATGATATATATTTTGCTATTTTATAATTACTTTTGGAATATATTCACCTATGTAGGTTATTGTTTTGCTTGTTATAATTTCTTAGTACACTTAATGAGATACTTTTATTAGTAATACTGTCCTTGGCCCAGATAATTTTCCCAGAAGGCAGATGGCAGGAAACTAAGGAGAAAGACAAAGACAAAGATAGTTAGATGCTTTTGTCACTTCACCAATGGCTCCTGGAGTTGCTGGAAGACAGCGGTCTGTCATCTGGGGCAGAATGATTCTGTAAACAGGATCTGCTGTTCCAGGCCGACTCTAGGAGAGGACATTTGTCTGCTGTTGGTAAAGCTGTTATGCGGTGGTCATGTCCTGTGGGTTTGGAAAACTGGAGCCATCTTGAGAAGGGTGATAGAGGAGGATCAGTGTAGGTCACTTCCTTGAGTGGAATTTGAATCCTGGCTTTCTCTCCTTGGTGGATAGTTCTGAGTATTGAGAATGTGCTTGTGCATAGAGCTACTTTGTTTAAAACACTGCTTCTAGTGTTAGTAATAGGCTTCCCAGGACAAACAAGGTGTTTAAAAACAAGACCCCGCTAAGGCTGAAACAGTTTCATTTTGTAAATATTTAGAGTATGGCTTTGGCTTGAGGCTCTTAGGTTCTTCTGTGAAAACACTTCAAAGTTACAGCTGGATTGGAGGGACTAAGCAGTTCTCACAAAGCTCTCCTTGAGAGCTTCAGGTGTTTGGTTCAGAAAATGACCTGCTGAGCTTGTCACTGGGGTAGGGGTCTTCCCTAGCACCCTCCATTCTTGTGTTTCTAAGTTTTTAGGCTATATTCTAATATTTCAGGAAAAACCAAAACTTTGCCAACTGAGGTTGCCAAACTTGTTTTCTCTACAGGGCACTCCAGTCCAAATGAAAGTACTCCCCCCACCGGCCCCCTTTGGGATAAGGATTGTGAATTACTGTCACTTGTTCTGGTATTAACTCAGAAATGGAAGGAAGCGTCCTGGTTAATTTTGAAGCTAAATACTTTCAACTTCCGTCCTCTTTTTAGGAGCTGAAGGGATTGCATAGGCTCTGTTTCAGTGCCTTTTGTTTCTGCTTGTGGCTTATGAGTAAGTCTGGCTGTCAGGACAGGCTGAGATGGGGTTATCAATTTTGAAGTTACTTATCGAATGTGTTGTCCTTTATGTATATTGTGGCCTAGGTTGCTGGTAGAGACCATGTCCTTACCTCCTCAGTATCCCTGCTGAAAGGAGGACAGTTAAAGGTGAGACGCCAGTTGATCTCAGTGACCTATATTCTGCCCACAGCAGAAAAGGGTGGTGTTCACCTTTATTTTCTGGTACCCATCCTGCTGTGCCAGGAGCAGAGAGCATCTCCAAGAGAGCTTGCTTTCCTAGTGTGAGAATGGATGGAGTTTGTTGAAACTTAGGAGTACAGCAACAAGGGTCCTGTCCCCACCACCTCACCTCTGCCCTCAATTTTTGAGACAGGGTCTCATGTATCTCAGGCTGGCCTTAAGTACAGTAGAGGGCAGGTTTGAACTTCTGATTCTCTTGCCTCTGTCTCCCAAGTGCTTTGATTATAGACTTGTGCTGCTACACCAGGTTCATGCCAGGTGTGAAACAAGGTCTTCATGCATGCTACAGAGGTACTCCATCAACGGAGCTCCACTTGAATCATAAAGCTTTTGAATTTCCCTTTTGCTATACTTCAGATAGACATATATTTCATATAGACAGAGTATCTGAAAAAGGAAATATTTTTATATCCTATATTTAAATCCTCTCGGAGATTGTCCTGCTTCAGACCCTACTTGTGAGGATAATTTTTCACTGGATTGAATCCATCATCTGGGTATAAGCTTCTCACCTAGTAAAGGGCAACAAATGCTTACTTTAACAGCTAAGTGGGGGTTACCATCCTAGTTTCCCTCCATTTTAAGCTAAACTGAAAGCTCTTTTGAAAAAAGGAGAAAAAAAAAACTTTAGCAGTAGTTAAACATGCAATCTGATATTGAATGTCCTTAGGCATTAAAATAACCCTTTCCCCCTCTCTCCACCTCAAACGAGAGACTCATTATATTGTAGCAGATTTGGAGCCAAGTAAAGAGCTGTAATTCTTAAACCACAGCTACCATTGTGAATTAAATGTGGAAAACTAGGGAAGTGAGTTTCATTTCCAGTGTAGTTGGTGTGACTGCCTGACGTCCTCTTTCGGCATAGAACTCAATATTGTGCAACACTGACAATATTTGATGTAGACAATTGACTGAAGCATACACTTGGTAATTTAGGGGAATAATGGACAAGCTGCACTGCAGTAGCAGAGATTGCCAGGAAGAGAAAATGCAAACACAAACCTCTTTGCCATTAGGCTACTGAGATATAATGCCTCTTT